TTGAAACTGATATGTACTAATTTCATATATATTATATATTATATATTATATTATATATAGATGTATATTCTATTTAATACATAAGGTAATATTTTATATATATATAAATATATATATAGATATACATCATAAAATTTAACATTTAATTAACTAAATAATTAAATTAAAATTAATATTTTTATTTTTATTTAAATTAATTATAAAAAAATATTACAATAAAAATAAATCCTTAACATCTGCAGCACATTATAGAAAAACTGAAAAAAATAATAATAAATAAAACAACGCGCTTTTATGAACTTCGGTGGGGTCATCATCCCCGTGGGTTGACTGTTCTCGTTCTTTGTTTTCTGTTTTGGTGATTTTCATTTTCCAGGTTTTGGAAAATTCAGATTCACATTGCGTGTCATCAATTTCAGAGAGTAATGGATGAGGTGATGACGACGGCAGATTCGGTCTCCTCTCGCGGCAGCTATGGGACGCCATCGTCGAATCTGCTGCCATACAACCTTCCTCTGATAACCGCATTCCTGGCCTTCGCCCTTGCTCAGTTTCTCAAGCTCTTCACCACCTGGTCCGTCGATTCACTCTTATTTAATTTGTTGCCCCTTTTGTTTAATTGCTTGTGCTAGTGTATTTTATGCATTTCGAATTTCAATTGCGTTTTTTCGAATCAGTATTATTTCGTTCTTTGGTAATGTGTTGCGAATTCAAATCTAGACTTCCGAGGGTTTCCGGACGTTGAATGTGCTTTTGTCTTTTTCTCCTTCCTTTCCATATGGGTTGATATTTTTCGTTTATATTGAATGAAAAAAAAGTGAGCATATTGTATTTAGAGTATTTGATTTAGGGATTATTTTGAACCTCACTAAATTTATAATGAAAAAGCTTGCTCTTACAATTCTTTAGCTGGCAATTCTCATAAAACATGGCAACCATTAGTTTATGTATTGTAATTTTCAATTACTTCTCCAAATTCTCTTAGCTACTATAGATTTTTGAATAATTATATTTCTTATATTCCTTTATGCTCAAGACAGTTAAAAGTTTTATTGTATGACAAATGAACAATCAGTTATTGAGAATTCAAAACTAAATTAAGAACGTTTATGGATTCCCTCTCTGCATTTTTTGTCCATTCTTTTGCAAAAGCTAGGGAAAGAAATGTTTCAACTTAGATAGTTAACTACTCTGAGGAAGGTTTTGTATCTCATTTTCATAGGATGCTCAAAAAGAATTGGATCTAATTCTGATTTTAGGTGTTTAAGTTAAAGAGATGGAAATGAAAATAAAGTCATTTCTTTGTGTCTGTTTCTTAGTTGCAAGCATTACCTGGTTAGGAATTGTTTGATGTTTGGAAATATGAGGATAGCAGAAAGAAAGCTATCTTTCACTTTTATATGAAAATTTATCAACCATGAAATATTTAGAATTAGGTTGTTCAGTCGTCATAACTCATCTAAGAAATCAATACAGATATTTCTACTCCTCAATTGCATGCAACTTTGGTTTGATGCTGTACAATTTTAAATTAGGATTTAGGAACATTCTACAATCCATATGTATGGTATAAATAGAGTACTTGTTTAAATTTGGGATTACTCGTATATCAAGGGTAGGACAATAAAGACAGAACTACGTAAGATTTGAGGCTGGTTGCTACTTGCCCGTTTGGGGGTTTGATTTTGAAAGTTAAGATTAGGAGTAGATTATGGATTGTTTGGGGTTCTTATTTGAAATTTTTAAAGTATATGTGCTATTTAAAGGATTGGAAAGTATGCAAAATAAACAAAGTGAGAAATGGAAGAGAACCAAGGAAAAGATGGGGATTCTTCAATTCTAGTTGATCTTGTAGGAGCATTTCGTTGAAGAAGTTTCAGTCTCACCATTTAAAGAAAATGAAAGAACTTTGTTCTCGGGAACTTAATTGACTTCTTTGTATGAGACTTGTCTTTCTTTTTCTCTTCTCTTCTCTTCTCTTCTCTTCTCTTCTCTTTTGATAAAGCATGAGACTTACTTATAGTTCTTAAAAGCAAGCTTGACACAGGCCTCAACATAATGCATTGCTAGCTCACCCAAGAACACCTTAGTGGAGACAAGTTCAAAAAAAAGTAATGCGTAGGTGTGCTTAAATCATCTTTATTTTTAAGACGACTTTTTTGTTTTGCAATTTTTTGAATTCTTCCTGTAATCTTTTAACTTTAAGCTTTCACTGAGTTGATTTCATTGTTACTGTTTAAACAAACTTATAATTTTGAAATCCATTAAAACTCTCTATTGAAATATAAGGGAAAAAACAAAAAGACAAAAAACAAGATTTATTTAAAGGCAGTTTTGTTATGGGAGCTTATTCCTCCTAGTCTACTTAAGTACCTTTTTAAAATTATATGGTATATATATAATTATATTTTTTGTCTTTTTGGTTGGCAAAAATCTATATGTTATGTTACTATTTATATGCTATTGTTTTCTTCTAGACTTCTAGCACATATTTTCTGCAGTATGTATTTTTGTTTGTCATGATATATGTTTTGTCTAAGTCTGACTGATATATGACTATTCACCTTGAGCTTTGTGCCAAGGCTTCAGGTACCTTATCATCTTTTGCACCTTGTGTTGTTAATAACTATGGATTAACTCAGAATCCTGTTACAAGGAAAAGGATAAGGGCTTCCATATATCATATGAAAATCACAATCTGATGATTTGATCAGGGAGTATTAAACAAATTCATTCAATTAGGACTAAAATTTTGTCCCTTAGGGAAAGACCAACAGTTTGAGCTAAATTTCTTTGTCTAAAGTTCAAACCTTGGGATGGGCAGTGAGGGATTTATTGAAGTCAGGGGATATCCCTTGTTGTGCAGCCCACCATCAAATGTATCCCAAAAAAAATGAAAGAACAAAATTAATAAGATTAAGACAACTTAAAGGAGTCAGATAATTGGAAATTATTCTCATTGAAAGCTTCACAAGTATTCCTGGTCTTGGAAATTCAAGGCAAGTTCTTCATCAACACTTTGACAGAAAAGTTGCTGTTGTACTTCTTGTGTATGGTGTATACATAGCCTTTTGGTTTATATGTGTTCCCTTAATTGGAAGTTTAAGTAGGTACTCAAATTTGAGTTGTTATGTCCTTTATTATGACATAATTATTGTAAAGATACAAACACTTGCACATGTACTAGCTTAGTTTTCAACTTTTTCTCCTAGATATTCAGGTATAAAGAAAGGAGATGGGATACTAAGAGGATAATAGATTCCGGTGGCATGCCATCATCACACTCAGCAACTGTGACAGCTCTAGCAGTAGCTATAGGTCTACAAGAAGGGACTGGAGGAGCTGCTTTTGCCATTGCAGTTGTCTTGGCATGTATTGTACGTGCTAAACTACTCTAATTCTGATATGATGTTTAGAAGGAGCCCATCTTCAGATTTTATAATCTGTATTGGATCAGGCTGATCATTATTGTTTTCATAGTTCTTATGTTGCCTTGAACTTAGTTAAGTTTTTGTTAATACTTCTTCTCAAAATATTTTGAGTTTGACTTGAATTTATAAATTGATTTGGCCTTGTCTATGCTTGGTTTTAGGAAAAGAAAAAAAAAAAAAAAAGGCTCATACAAATACAAGTTTAAGATTTACAAAGTGCTTATTTTTAAGTCTTGTGAAATGCTGAAATATTTTCCCTAGGCTAATGAATTACTTTCTTTTTCTGAGGTTCTTGAATGAATTTTTGTTGGTGTTTGGTGCACTTTGAATGGATTTTAGTGATTAATGTACCATACTTTTGCCCAGTTGCTTTAACGAACATTCTGGAAGACATGCACAACCCATTTGCATGCAGCAAGGTCAATTTTTTATTGCTACTTTAAAAACTTTCTTGCCAAGACGCTACATAATTTTATAATTACCATGTTGGCTGTCTGATATGATTTCAGCCTGTGGTCTTACCAGTTAAAGGACACATTATGAAGAATTGACATTAAAACTCCATGTTCAACTGCCTGTGCTGAATGTCAAGGATAGGCAGCAATAGTGGTTATTTATTTTGAAATTGATTCTCTGATAAAAAGATTTTCCATATACCTGTTTGGTTGAGTTGGGCAATGGATGATTTTCAAATATTTGCAGGTCATGTATGATGCCACAGGGGTTAGGCTTCATGCTGGTCGTCAAGCAGAAGTAAGTCTTCTATGTCCGATGACATTGATGCCGGACTTAATTGCTTTCATTAGCGTATGTTTGGTTTGAGGGGAAGGGAGGGGAAGGGAGGGGTTTTCTAACCAATCAAATTATAACATTTTCAAATATTGCAATCTGAATGGTCAAAAAAATCCCTCCCTCCCTCCCTCACTCCCTTCAAACAAAACACATCCTTAATTTCTTTGTTTTCACCTGTATTATGAGGATAATTCAATTTCAGTCCTTCAGTAGTTTCTTCCTTCCTTTGTCTTTTTCTTGTGATTACAGTTGCTAAATCAAATTGTTTGTGAGTTTCCTCCGGAACATCCCTTATCTAATTCAAGGCCCCTGCGTGAATTGCTTGGCCATACTCCTGTCCAGGTTTGTTTCTCTCTCATCACAGCATAGCCTGAAAGAAAAAAACTATTGCTGCTTGGTTCTCATTTCTGATTATTTTTGCAGAAGTTTATTTGTCTATCTAAAATGGTCAGTTTTCATTGTAGCTTAGTAAATTATTCTTGTATAATAATAACAAAAAAATTCAAGAGCCACAAAAGAAAAAGTTTTGCAAAATTGGATTGAAAAAAGAAAGATGTGGAGAAGGAGAAAAACAACCTTGAAGGCTTCCAGAAACAAGGTTAAAATCTCATGTGCACAAAGTTATAGCCCTTTTAAATTGTTATGAGGAAGATTATTGCTATCATTTTGGTAACCCTAAGTATATAATGCACCTAACAAGATTATTGGGGCGACTTCACAAATTGATGTTTCTCTTTCCCTTTTACAATTAATAAATCATGCATGCAATCCTAATTGGAATGAACTCAAACTTGTGTCAAAAGAAATCAAATATTGAAGGTGGCTCTCAAGTTTCAAGTTCTTTTTGTGTGTCACTTCCCTTGGTTGATGCATGAAAATAAAGTAAAATAAAGAAGTATTTGAGAAGTTAGGAATAAGGTGGAATAAGGTTGTTCATTGGGGAATAAGGTAGGAATAACTAAAACCTAGGTAGACGGGCATAACAGATTTCCCAACTTATTCAGTTGTTAAAATGAAAAATAAGCAACCCCCATTCCAACCGTGTGTAACAGATATTCCAACTTATTCCCTTGTTTAAAAGAAAAATAAGCAACACCATTCCAACCTTATTCCTGACTTATCATGTACTCTTCCTTATTTTATCTTATTTTTATGCATTAAGTCATAAACATTCCATCCAACCATGATAATAATGGTCACCAGGTATATGTCTGAATCCCAAGGTCAAATCCCCTGAGCTCTTTATGTTCTAGGTATGTCATTCCATATTGGAAAAAAAAAATGAAAATAAAAAAGAAGTATGCAAAATTAATTTTCCATTCAGGGGCATTTTCTGCTGAAAGAAATCTACCTGGTAGATATTTCTTGTTAAGCCAAGAGGATATTACTGACTTTAACATGGAAAATACATTTCTGCTAATGGTAGAAAGTCATTGTTTTCCTGAAAGTTCCTCTATAATATAACCAAAGAGGTTGGTATCTTATCTGCAATCTACCTGTGAGAGGTTTATCATGTTATATGACCATTTTAACATTTTGATTGTCAGGAAATAATCAATCAGTGTATGCTATACTGTGCAGGTTGTGGCTGGTGCTTTGTTGGGGTGCATAGTGGCTTATCTGATGAGAAATTCTGGTTAGGATTCGGCATTAAGGACACGAATAGTTTGACCTTACCATCAATGTCGTGTAATATATATCCTACAGTAACTAGAATAGAAGAAAGAGCTCTTTTTGAACAAAGTTACATTTGCTGAAAGCCGGTAAAGGGGTTGGACAATAATTGGAGACTGGTTTCTGTTGGCTTTAGACAATTTATACATGGCATATTTTGAAATTAATAAAGAATTCTTTAGCTTTGCCAATGCATTAAATGATTGTTTGCTTAGCGATTTTCTTTTCAATTTCTTTCTGTTATTTGAAACATCACTGAATCTTCTTTGATGATGAAACTGCAGATGATTCTCTACTGAATGTCGAATGTTGACCGTTAAACCTTGGCTGGTCATTATCCTTTTTACATTCTTTTATTTGTGTTCCCTCAAAATTCCTCAAATGACCCTTGTGTGGGGTGTGGTACCTGCTTTACATAAGCAAGAAACTCGGATTTTCCCAACAGCAGGACTCTCAAATCGCCCCTTAAAAAATATGGATTGGGATGGATTCACCCTCAAAAAAAATGAAGGGATATTTGGCCCCAAAATTATCGATTGACCCAAATCACTCATTATTTAACTGCTAACATCATCACCATCATGATCTCCGTTTAGCTTGTGTCAGCGTGTTGTTTTTTTACATGCTGGAGGCTGATGTATACTAATCCTGCTCTTTTTAAACACTGTGTCATTTGTGTGCCCCCAAACGCCTCTTCTTTCTTCTCTTCCTCCTTTACCCTCTAATTAATGGACTGCCAAGAGGCCCCTGCCACCGCCACCATTGCCGATATCCCCACCCCACCGCATGGTTCTCTCGATTTCATTCCCATCGATTCCCTAGATGAGACCCTTCCGGAGATTCTATCTCCTCCGTCCAATGGTTACCACAACCACGACAATGAACACGGTCAAGATCACGACTATGACTAGGAGAACTCGTCCAGAGCTGGCGTGTTCACTGTGGATCTCAAACACAAAATAAGCAGGTAAATGCTAATTGCTAAATCTCTTTTTTAATTTTCTCTCAACTAATAAACACACATATACGGCGTAGGCATGTAAAATACTATGTTTTTAGATAGAAAGAAAAGTTCTTTCAAATCTTAGCATTTGAAAGATTTATTGTTACCTGAGGAGGCTAATGTGTACTAATCACGTTGGGCATCAGACATTACAAAATCTAAAACAAGTAGAAGATAAAAAAAAGGTGTAATCCCAACTAACTACGTAAGAGGGAGGTGAATTGGGTCTCATCAATTTAAACTTAAAAACTTGTTTCTTTTTCTTTCAAAATTTAAATCAAGTTTGCAATTTATAAGGTGTTGTGCAAAATAAACAAAAAGTAATATAGTGCAGAAAAATAAAATAGAGGGAAGAGAATATAAAGCCGTGATTTATAATGGTTCCTCCAACCCGAAGTACGTCTACTCCCCAAGCCTCCTTACTTGAGAGTTCAATCCACTAGAAATCTCTTGCTTACGGGTGCAAGATTAAACCGGAACAAACTATTGCTTATGGGTGAAAGATTAAACCGAAACAAGTGAATCTCAACTCACTCAACCCTTTCAAGGATTATCCCAATCCAAGAAAAATACAAAACCCTTGTAAGACAATTAACCCAAAAACTCACAAGAAGAGAAGAAGAAGGAGATCCAGAACAGTTTCAAACTCTGTTTTCTGTAACACTAGAGAAGTTTGTCCTTCTTCGTTCATCTCCAGATCTGATTTTATGATCTTTTTAATAGTAGGTTTGGAACCTTGAAATTTAAAGTCCATTTAGCCCTTCAAAGCCACCTCACTAATGCTCTAATTAGATTCCACCTTATTCTACTAACTCTGAGCTGACTTTGGAAAGTGTTCAGACAATTGGTTCCCTCAAGGCCCATTAAGAATAAAAATAAACAGATAATTGAGTTATCAAAATTTAACCTTCTAGAATTTTTGTTTCGAAGCGAGAAATAATAGTTCGAACCATTTTCGAAAAGAAGAAGTTCGAGATTAGTTCAAATCAAATTAAATTAATTCAAACCTGCACACATAGTACAAAAATATATTAAACTCTTTTGAATTGTGATTTTAAATCATCATAAAAAAACAAAGAAACTAACAAAAAGGGCAAGCTCTTATATGGATAATTTGTCAGAAATCTCTATAACTCTAGGCAATTCTACAGACTAACTTCAATTGCCAGCCCAAAGATTTAAAGAAATTATATATCTAGCTATGAGATTAAATCAACTTTGATGTCTAAACAAGAAATTACCATCTAAGTCCTCATTTGGGTCGAGACGGAAGTCCAACCAAGTTTCTGGATGATGTGCAATATTGCTTGCAAATGTCAATACCTCATTCGTAATCCTTATTGCACAAAACTCCTCATTCTCTTCTTCTTCTTCTTCTTCTTCTTCTTCTTCTTCTTCTTCTTCTTCCTCCTCGTCCTCATCTTCTTCTTCATTTTCCCTTGATCCAAATGGAAGATAATCTGTAAGGATCAGTCCGAGGTCCTTAACCTTGGACGTACTGTAACAATTCCTTTATAGTCGAAGTGAAGTTAAACCCAACATTTCTGGTCAAACGGCTACATGATAAATATAGTGGGTATATCCACACCTGATTTATTACATAACTCCCCGGTCCCGAATTTATAGCCAGTCCCGAATTTATCTCTTTAAGGGACATGTTACACTTCGATCACCCTACTAAGCAAGCCACGTGGATACCTCATGAAGGCCTATAAATACCCCTAGGTGCCATGTCAAAAAGGTAATTGATGATTAGCTCCTTCGACCAAGCTATGGGAATTGCAGCTGTAATTTCAAGTCTTAACCATGAGAGATTCAAAGATAGTCTGCTCAAGCATCTTGCCACCACCTTTAGCGAGGTAAATGATAGATCCCTGAAATTTATAACTGCTGAGGAATATGCCTTGTCGCAGAAGCCAACCCCCTCTAAGAACCAAAACCCAGACTGGAGAGATGAGAATCAGAGCAGGAACGGATGACGACAGTACAGAACCAAGGTTCGATGTCGACTTCCACACTAAGATTCGGGAAGCCGAACTCAGCACCTCCACAACAGTTTGCAAGTAAACCTCTAGTTACTTGGACTCCTTTTAATCTGCCTAGGTCACAGATTTTCATGCAGATTAAGAATAAGATGGATTTAAGGCATCTTGGCCCAATGAGAACTACTGTTGCTAGCCGAGATCATACTAGATATTGTGATTTTCATCAAGATCATGGTCATACAACAGAGCAATGCAACAGCCTAAGGTCCGAGCTGAAAAGTCTAGCTCAGAAGGGAATGTTGAATGAGTACATTCAAAGAGTTGAACAGCCAAGATTTGTCAGAGAACAGGGGTCACAACCACAATGAGCTCGTAATCCACCAAACAGGCAAGGCGTGGGATATCAGCAAGCCCCACCTCCGCTTCCACCACCAGCTCGAATTATACATATGATTACGGGAGGCCTAGAAACAGAAGGGCTGAGCTCTAAATAGTGAAAGCTGTATGTCAGAGAGGTCAAACATCAAAACTGGGCTTAGAAAAGGAAATTTGATGATGCTGACTGGAAGAATCAACCCATTACTTTCACATCTGCTGATTTCGACATAGTTGTTACACCCCACAATGATCCTTTGGTCACTTCTGTCATGATTGCAACTGTGAGGTACAACGTATCCTTGTTGACACAAGGAGTGCACCAGACATCATGTACTTCCACTGTTTTGAGAGTATTGGACTGGATCCAACATTGTTGCAGAGGTACGATGGTCCCATCTATGGATTCAATAACCAACCAGTTCAGGTAGAAAGGGTTCTTACCCTCCATGTTGCTTTTGGGAGTGGCAGAACGTATGTTACCCCTTCCGTTCGGTTTCTAGTTGTCAAGATGCCGTCCTCTTTCAATGTTGTTATTAGCAGACCCACGCTGACTGAAATCCAAGTTGTGGTTTCCCAATCTCATCTTTGTATGAAGTTCCCAACTCTTATGGGGATAGCAACACTACTAGGCAACCAAGAGCTGGCTAGACATTACTATATCACCTCGGTCACGAGACCAAACAAAGACAAAGAACAGACACCAGAGGCTATTCCCCAAAAGATTCTTGACAATCAACAAGTCATGAGAGTTGAAATAGTAGACAACCGACTTGAAGATGAAACCAGAGCTACTCCAGTCGAGGATGTTGAGGAGGTGCACATTGACGACAAAGATCCAAGCTGAAAGACGCAAATCGGAACTCGATTGAACCCAGAGGAAAGAGCAGAGCTAATAGCTTTTCTCCAAGCTAACAATGATGTCTTCGCATGGACTTCGGCAAACATGCTAGGAATTCCAACCTCAGTATCTCAACATAAGCTCAGCACCAATTCATTGAAGAAACTAGTAGCCCAGAAGCGACGTCTCTTCGGGGGGGGAGAGGCTTCAGGCCATAAAGGAAGAGGTAGAAAAGCTGCTACAAGCTGGTTTCGTCAGAAAAGTTGATTATTGCGAATGGGTGGCTAACCCATTACTGATGAAAAAAGCAAATGGTAAATAGTGAATGTGCATCAACTATACAAATCTCAACCAAGCTTACCCCAAAGACTGCTATCCAATGCCGAGCATTGACAAATTGGTTGAAGCGGCTACAGGTAATGAGAGATTAAGTCTCTTGGATGCATATTCTGGGTATCACCAGGTGCTGATGGCTCCAGAAGACGAAGAAAAAACCTCGTTCTATGCTGGTGACGAAATCTATTGTTATGTCATGATGCCATTTGGCTTAAAGAACGCAGGTGCTACTTATCAAGAAATGGTGACCATTGTCTTCCGAGCTCAGATCGGCAGGAATCTGGAAGTTTATGTCGATGACATTGTGGTAAAGAGCCTAAAAGTAGAAGACCATCTAGTTGATCTCGACGAAACTTTCAACAACCTCAAAAAGAATAGAATGTGGTTAAACCCAACCAAATGCATCTTCGGCGTGGAGTCTGGAAAATTTCTAGGCTTCATGGTTTCCCGAAGAAGGATTGAGGTCAATCTAGAAAAGATCAAAGCAATTGCCGATATGGAACCGTCGAAGTCAGTGAAAGATATACAGAGGTTGATTAAAAGGGTGGCAGCTCTTCATCGGTTCATATCGAAGTCAGCAAATAAGTGCCTACCATTTTTCAAGATTATGAGGTTAGCCGCCCAGAAAAATGAATCAAGAAAACAAAAGAAGTTTGAATGGAACCAGGAATGCAAAGCCGCATTCGAGGAGCTGAAGTCTTATCTTAGCTCACCACCTCTACTAACTAAGGCCATAGATGGAGAGATTCTCTATTTGTATTTGGGAATTTCAGATGAAGCCATTAGTTCGGTTCTGGTGAGAGAAGAAGTGAAACAACAGAAACCAATCTATTACATCAGTAGTGTGCTGCATGGTGCAGAACTGATGTATCCTATTGCTGAGAAAGCAGCATTAGCAATTGTCACTTCGGCCAGAAAGCTAAGGCCCTATTTCCAGTCACACCCAATCATTGTCCTCCCAGACCAACCTCTTCGGCAGATTCTACAGAAGCACAAGTGCTCCGGAAGATTAATTAAGTAGGCAATAGAACTGGGGGAATTTGAGATAACATTTCAGCAGAGATCTGTAATCCGAGCTCAAGCACTAACAGATTTTATTGTAGAATGCACCCCATGCCATTCAACCCTTAATCCAGAGCCCAACGACTGGACCTTATATGTTGATGGGGCATCTAGTAGCAAGGGTTCAGGAGCTGATGCTCTCTTAATTGGCCTAGATGGATACCGAAGTGAACATGCTCTGAAATTTAACTTCGATGCAACAAACAACATGGTTGAGTATGAAGCCCTGCTACTTGGTCTGCAACTAGCATTGGAGTTGAAAATCAACGCGATTCAAGTGTATAGTGACTCCTAATTGGTGGTGAATCAAATCAACTCAATCTGCGAAGTCGTCGATCCTGTGATGGTGAAATATATAGCCCTAGTGGCCGAGCTGAAGTGCAAATTCCAGAAATTCTGTCTGAACAAAATTCCCCGAACTGAGAATGAACAGGCAGATTCACTCTCTAAGTTTGCCTCTAATAGCTCTTTAAGTTCCATATTAGTTTTTGTGGAGGTCTTAGATGAACCAAGCTTCATGAAGTCACGGATGATGGAAATCAGCACAGACATAGACATGCCGAGCTGGACTAACTCAATTATCTCCTCTTTACGAGACGGGATACTATCTGAGGACAGGTAGGAGGCAATGAAGTTGAGGAATAAAGCATCTCGGTATACATTCATTGATGGGGTCCTCTATAAGAGATCTTTCTCACTCCCTCTTCTACGATGCTTTAATCCCTACGAAGCTGAGTACACACTTCGGGAGGTACATGAAGGTGTTTGTGGGAGCCACGTTGGTGCTCTGGCTCACAAAGTCTTAAGACAGGGATATTACTGGCCAAACATGTATAAAGATGCCACTCACAATGTTTGGAGATGCCTGAAGTGCCAATTCTTTGCACATCTGACTCACCAACCAGCAGAAGAGCTCACGAACTTGGTAGCACCATGGTCATTTGCTCAGTGGGGACTGGATCTTTTGGGCTCATTCGTGAAAGGGGTTGGTGGTATAACCCATCTGATTGTTGGTGTGGATTATTTCACAAAATGGGTTGAAACTCGGCCATTATCCAGTCTTACCTTCAAGAAGGTCGAAGACTTTGTTTTCAGCTCGATGATCTGCAGATATGAGATCCCAAATCAGATTGTGGCTGATAATGGAACTCAATTCAACTGCTCCTCATTCCGAGATTTTTGTTCCAACTACAGGATCAAATTGTAGTTCACCTCGGTTTACACCTCGGTTTACCATCTGAAGTCCAATGGTATGGTAAAATCTGTTAATAAATGCATTTTAGAAGGAATGAAGCCGAGGTTGGAACAACACAAGGCCCAGTGGGCAGACGAGCTCAACAACGTCCTCTAGGCATACAAAACAACAAGCAGAACTACCACAGGTACTATTTTCAAACCAAGTTCCTTTCATTTTATTTTTATTCTACGTTACTTCCTCACCTGAGACTCTACCCTAGATCAAATATGCATAATATGTAAAGCATATTCTAAAGAATATAATTTCATGAAATAGGTGAAACACCCTACCACTTGGCCTTTGGTACTGAAGCAATCATTCCTATTGAAATAGGAGTGCAAAGCTTCCGGGTCACCCATTTCGATGAAGGACGAAATGGACAATTGCTTCGGGAAAACCTTGATCTGCTTGCTAAAGTCAGAGAAGAAACACGGCTTCGAACTCTTGTATACAAGCAGAAATTAGCCAACTTCTACAATAAACGAGTCTGCCCTCGAACATTCAAAGTAGGAGACCTTGTTCTCAGAAAGGCTGGTCTAACAGGGTTTAAAACTTGTTTTGGCAAACTGGCCCCAAATTGGGAAGGCCCTTATATTGTGGCCGAGGTGCCACATCCTAGTTCCTATGTCCTCCAAGACGCTGAAGGAAAAAGAGTTCCTAGAGTCTGGAATGTCAATGACTTGAAAAAATTCTACCCCTAATAAACTTCTTTCAAATGATCTATGTCTTACTGCCCTTTATACTTCTTACTTTGTGATTGTTAAGATTCATTTTATCTCTTACTCTGTGTATCTGAGATCAATTTGTTTAACACTTGTTCCTTGAACTTCACTTCTACTAATGAATGTCACTTCGCACATGAAGTGCTTTATTTGTTTAATTCATCTGAAGTGATTTATTTCTTCTTAATTCGTCTGAAGTGGCTTACTTCTCTTTAGTTCATTTATGAAGTGGTTAACTTCTTTTTATTTCATCTTTGAAATGATTAACTTTCCTTCAAAACATATCTCAAGTAATCTCAGTTCTTCTATTAATATAAGACAACAAAAAGGTAAAGCAAACACAACACATGATTTCAAAACAAAATTTTCATTCATAATAATAAAAGTATTACAACAGATTGTTTTACTGTTGTTACAATAAAAACAAAAATTATATCTCTGTTGGAGGAGGTGACTGAACTGGCTCTTGCTCAGTTGGAAAAGGTGGCTGTGTTGGCTGCTGTTCGTCTGGCAGAGGAGGCTGCTCATCGTAAAAAAGAACTGGATGAATCTCCACTTCTGGAGCTAGTTGGCTCTCACCCACTTCAGTTCCTTCCACTCCGGCCCCTACTTCATCTTCCTCCACCTCTACCCCTTCTTCCTCTACTGAGGACGGAAGTCTGCTACATGCTTTCACCATTCTCCTCCACTCCCTCTTCTTGCTCGTTGAAGGTGATCTTTGTAATATCCACCTCAGGATACTCAGCCTTCACCTTCTTTCTGCAGTCTGTGAAGGCGAGGATGGCAATTGGCAGTCGATAGATGTTGACAATGTGGTCAAACAAGCTGGAGCTGATGAAGTTGCTGATGTGCTCTTCCATCCCATTGTGCACCAGCAACTGCACATTCTTCTTCAGCTCCATATAAGCCTCCTTCATCAGCCTTATTTCCTTCTCCTAAGCCTCACGCTCGCTTTCAAAGATTTTTCGTTTGCTCTCTTCAAAGACGAGCTTGGTGCTCAGGGAAGATCTCTCTTGCTCTAGCTACTTCACAACTGGAACCACCTCGTCTAGCACCTCTTGCATCTCTTTATTTTTCTTCTCCATCTCTTCCTTCTCCTTTTGCAGTTGGTCACACTGCCTTTGCAAGAGGGAGCGCTCCTTCACACTCTCCATGAACTCTTGAGCTAAACCATTAACCCAGCTCGCGCTCTGCAATTCAAGCAGAAGTTTAAAAAAAAAAAAAAAGGAGAAAAAGAAGAATAAACAAACAAATAACACTAGTAAATACAATTAAATTAACTTAACATACCTCCAAAACATGCTTCACTACTAAAGCCCCACAGTACCTCAGAGCCTTGTCCCGTGCGTGATGCTTGTCCACTTTGGGGAAGGTGGAATTGATGAACCTCCTGGCCCCCATCATGTTCTTCACCTCGAACAGGCTGCTTTGAAAGGACGACGGGGGAATAAGGCCCTTTCCCTTGCCAGGAGCTCGTACCTCAGCTCCTTCTTCAGATTCCCTGAGCTTAAGGTCGAGCTCAACAGGAGGAGGCCGATGTACGAACTAGGGAACCTCGCTCCCCCTTTTCTCTTCCTCCACCACCTTCTTCTTCTTTTGTAGTGCCCCTCTCTCCTCCCTACCTTTCCTCTTCAACTCCAGCCGTGGCACCTCCTCTTCCACCCTGGCTAAAATGCTGGGCACTACCTCCTTTCCAACTCATCCCTCATCCACTTGCTTGGTTGAAGTCTTTGACTTTTCCTTGGCTTCTTGGGGATGGCCACTCCTCCTGCAGCTCCCAAAAATTTGTCCATTTCAGCTGCAGAACAAGAAAACATAGTATCAATTACACAGCTCTATATTCTACATTCAATACTATAATATAAATTTAAACAAACCTTCACTTAAAGCGCTTGGCCCATAAAGCTCAGCAGCTTCTATGCATTCTGCATTGGTGAGGTACAAGATATTTACTAAATCCCTTCCCTCCCTCAACAACTTCCCTACCTCTTCCTCCTCTTCCTCATTTAAACTAAACTTATTCTGGTTGGTTCTCTTAGCCTTCCAGGATGACAACTCCTCCACCTCGGTATCCCCCTTCTCCCACTCAGTATCATCTACAAAGAAAAATTTTTCCTTCCATCCTTTAATGGATGAAGGACCCGTAGTAAATAACGCTCTACTCTCTCTATTTGCTACCTTAGGGGTGAAATAATACCACCCCTTATCTTTCCTACTACCCCCCTTTAAAACAAAAAAATACTTAAACATATTTACAATTGGCACATTAATCCCCTAAGCTTGGCAATAAACTAAAAATCCTATTATTACCCTCATAGCGTTGGGGACTAACTGTGTCAACCTTATACCGTAATCTAACAGCAAACCCACTAGCAACTCAGGAATTAGAAACCTAAGCCCGGTTGCCAAATAATGGGCATACACAAGCATCCAATGATCCCGAGGAGCAAAACACGCCCTCTCCTCTACCCTAGCTAGCCTAATTAACACTCGGGAGGAGATCTCATAACTCTCCACCAAATACCCCAGGCTATCCCTGGTCCTGAGCTCAGACTCATACTGCTTCACCTTCTCCACTATGTCTGCATCTACATCATAGCACCTCACTCTCCTACCCTCCACCTCTACCACAGTGATGGGTACACTATCTCCCCCAACCCCAACTACCTCCCCTCCTCCCACTCCTTCCACTGTCCTTTCCTAACTAGATGGACTACTCTCTGAGTCCATTCCATCGTATTACAGAGGCATTACCTCACTTCCTACAACACTTACTGTTTCTTCCGAAGACATCTCCTCAATTTCTGCATGAAGTAGGGGGAGGAATGAAGTTAGGACCCCTTAAAAAAAAAAAAAAGAAAGGGAGAAAATATAATGCACACCCAAAATCATTCTCACTCCCAACCCTAACTTCCTTACGAGGACTCAAAATCAAACACAGAAAGGGAGAAAGGAGAGTACACTTCAATTAAATCAAAATCAAAGATTCGTATACATTACCTGATTTCGGTTTCGAAAACTTGATGTAGAAATCCACAAATGACACAGCAGTTCACGCGCAGGAAGCACACAGTAAAGCTTTTACAGAAATTTTGCAGAAAATACAATGAAAGTAAACTTCTTTCTACAGAAAAATGACTATTTATACCTCCGGGCAAAATTAGATCTCAACGGCTGAGATTCGTTTAATCTTATGGTCCTTATTCACACCGATTTGAATTCAACTGTGTAACCCTAACGGAAGCCATTTGAATTCAACGGCTCGTTTCCTAATTCTGTTTGTTTGACTATCACAGTTACTTTTTTCAACCCGTATTAATTGTACACGCCTTTTGACAGACAGCTGTCATGTCACATGATAACCCTAAGTCAGACTTTATAAACGGGCCCACTTAAGCCCACCTCAACACTTTTGTTTACTTTCACAATTATATTTTTAACTTACAAGTGTTTCACTTCGGCTCCGGCCACTATGACTGTCACATATTTTACTTCGGCCCAGGCCACCATGACTCCGGCAATCATTTTTTACTACGGCTTCGGCCATTATGACTCTGGTCATCACATTTCACTACGGCTCCAGTCACCATGACTCCGATCAATCAGTTCTTACTTATGGCTCCGGTAACATTGACTCTGCTCACTATTTTTACCACGGCTATGGCCACGATCGCTCCGATCACATTTTATTTTGGGCATGGCCAATAGGACCCCCTGTCACATACTTCATTATTAGCTACGGCCATACATGCATTTGAGTTATAACTCATCTTTAATATTTTTACCCCTCTTCCTTTCTATTTCTGCACTATTCCCATTATCTCTAACAACATCATTCACGAGTGAATGAGTTCGGGGGGGGGGGGGAATAGTGTAAGGATAAGTCCGAGGTCCTTAACCTCGGACATACTGTAACAATTCCTTTATAGCCGAAGTGAAGTTAAACCCAGCATTTCTGGTCAAACGGCTACATGATAAATACAGTGGGCATATCCACACCTGATTTATTACATAACTCCCCAGTCCCGAATTTGTAGCCGGTCTCGAATTTATCTCTTTAAGGGACACATCACACTCCGATCACCCTGCTAAGCAAGCCACATGGATACCTCATGAAGGCCTATAAATACCCCCAGGGGCCACGTCAAAAAGGTAATTGATACCATCCTAAAGCTCCTTTTTCATTAGTCCAGAGATAGACCCGATTATTATTGACTTAAGCATCAAAGTGTCTACCCCGATGACCCACCTCGGGGCTTTGCAGGTTCATCCGAAGTGAAGACGCAAATTGAAGAAGGATCTCTAGTTTGGTGCAATTACATAATCCAAGGCCATCTTTGACAACTTCCCACCAATATCCGCAAAATCACCTCTGATTCCCCCACCCGCAGCCATCGATTCCCTTCATCTCCAAAATGGTGGGATCCATTCAAATTGGACGATAACCGATCATTCATTTGGTGATCAGGCTCCATCGGACGCGGAGCCAGGAAGTTAGCAACCCCCCAGAGCTGGCGCGTCAGAGTTTGCTTGATTTCAGTTAGGTCTTCCTTTACACTGATGATGATTTTAACTTTCCTCTTTTTTTTTTTTTCTTTTTTTGTTAATCTTTAATGCTGCAACGACGTCATACCATTAAGACTTAAACACTCGAGTAACGTCGTTTAAAAAGTCCCCAATTCTCAATCTTCGGCCTCGTTTGATATAGCGGTTTTAGGGTAGCGGTTAGCGGTTTTACCTAAACCGCTAAATATAAGTGTTTGGTAAATTTATATATTTCAAAATTGCTACAACTAAAGTGTTTGGTAAAATTTTTATTTAGTGGTTTGAAACTATCGGATAATAGTTAGGGTCCAAATCACTATACTATAGGATTGAAAAAGTTAGTTAGTGTAGCTTTTCATACCAAACCGCTAGCGGATTAAAATTTTTTAATTTTACTGACAAATTTATCCATTTTAATTTTTTAGTATGTGGTCACATTTTTTAATTAATAATTATCTAATAAATTTCATTTTTGTTTTTTTACCTTTAATAACATTAAGTGATTATAATATTTTTTTTGTACATTAATTTATAATTAAAAAATATATTATCTTAAAAAACAAAATTTGTTAATTAGACAAAATGATTAATTTTT